TCTAAGCGGCATCGCAGATGATTTATCTACGGCCGAGAGATCCATCTCTACACCCGTCCCCAGTACCGTACTTAGCGGATAACATGCACCGGCTTGCATGATTTGACGCCTAGGCAGTGGGCCCCACGAAAGCATGCAAGCCGGCAATTCTTGCATGATTTGGCGAAATTCGGCGAAACGGCTCTAACGCAGGAGGTAAATCAGCAGGCGCGTGGGGCTTTCCACTCCGTGCCGCCCCTAACACTGCCCCTTTCAGGCACAGACTTGAAAGAGCGAGGAATCGCTCCTGAAGCTGGGAGAGTGACTTTACAAAGTGGGAGAAGGCCATCTGCTTATTTCCCTCCTGTGAGTCCTTCGATGTTTCTGTGCGCTCTCCACTGTTGATTTTCAAATTTAGTACAGCGAAGCCCAGGTAAGGCCTCGGGCAGAGTTCACGCAATTTCATCGCCGCGTTTCTTCTAGCAAGACGAACAGTTACGAGTCCATTGCATGTCGATCATCTTACATTTCGGTTGTGATAGTTACCCTCTGATTCAACCAGATAGGCTATTGGAGGGCGGGACCGGATCGATCAGAGAGCACGCACGCGAGGGAGATGCAGAGTCTGCCTCTCCCACGCTTACGTGCTCTCTAATCAATCTCTAATCTCTTATCTAATCTATTCTAATAGTCCTACCCTCCACCCGCCTATCTGGAGAACTAACACAACCGAAATGCAATATGATCGGCATGCAATAAACTCGTAACTGTTTGTCTAGTTGGGAGAATCGCGACGATGAAATCGCGTGAGCTCTGCCAGAGGCCTAGGTAAAAAAATCTCAAAATCGACTTGTTGCCCGAACCCTGTCTTCAATCGGCGTGGGAAAATGGTCAGAGCGCTTCCGCGGTGCCACCAGCCATATTTGCCTGCACTCTGCTTTTGACTGGATTCTCTTCTGGAATCTATCTTTGGGTGCAGAAGCTTAGACGTATTTCGAAGCGGCTGCTATATTATCTGCACTGACTTTATTCCACTGCTAAAGTTCTAGAGCCCGCATACTTCCCTAGCTTCTCCTAGCTGACAAGGGAGCTTTCCTGCGTTTTGAAACGATATTGTTCTGCGGGGATCGCGCTATCAAGACAAAATCCGCTTTTCAGCGCTGTCAAAAGCAAGGCTACCGAAAATTTTTGCAAGTCCTGCATGTCGATCGCAAGCACTGCACGGTCCCCTGTGGCTTTGACGCCATCTTTTTGTGGCTGTGGTAAAGCGGATGGTTTGCTACCATACACGCCTTTGTTTAGCAGGAAAAAGTCATGCTGCTTCACCCACGGGAGGGAGAAGGTTCCTTAAAAGCAGCGTCCCCTCAAACTGGGTGTATTCAGATTTCAGCGCGTT